GGAAGCTATGTACAGCACCCTGTTGGCCCCTCCCACCATCCATGATTTGCCTGCATTGCACAGAGAAGGCCAGGGACCCAGTGATGATATCACTGGGTCTACAATGTGATGTGTATTGACAATGGAACGGAGGGAGCAGGGAAGGCAAAATATAAGCAGATTAAACTGCAGCTTTAAAGAACACATGTGTTGCCTCGCATGGAGCTGTATGTTTTTGGCCTGTCCCAAAGCATTACATGCTCATTGAAAACCAATGGGTACCCTCAGCGCCCGTCGGCATTCACAGTAACATGTACATATGTGTTAAAGGACCTCATGGAGCCCTCTCCAGCCGTCATGTGTCAAGTGGGAAGACGCCTCTAACGACTCCATCGCCCCAGCTTACGTTTCACCCGTGGATGTTGCAGACTGAATCCATGTGTTCATCTTTATCACAGTGTCCCGAAAACGAATGACTTGCACCATGGGAAGGGGGAGGGGGAAGGGGTTCAATGTGATTCATTTCCCATGAAATACACATACATCTCAATAATGAGTCTGTACATACTGTATCTCTACATGTATCACAGCTGATAGGAACAACATGTGTGTTCAATTATCAGTGCGCGAGTCTGGAATTCCAACATTTCTGGAATGGCCGGGCAGGCACACGCTCACTCACGGCCATTGTTTTAGTCTGTAAAAATTTTAAGCTGAACTCCAGGCAAGCAGCTAAACGCACAGATGAAATGTGTATATGGGAACTGCATTACCTATCCAAAAATCAGCATTTCTATCAATGCAGTCCTGAGATTTATACAGCTCTGCCACACATCACGGCAGCAGGAGACCTGACTTTTGTCTGCTGCGGTTCAGAAACGCTTACAGGTCTTGTCCCTCCCCCAGCCTGTGATTGGGCAGTGAAAGAAGAAGCAGCAGACTGATGAGCTCATCTCTCTGAAACTCTGCTTTCTCCTCCTCATTAGCACGCTCCTTGTTAGCCAATTAGGACTGCAGCACAACTGACTAGCTCTTTGTGTTGCGTCTCCTACTCCTAGTCATTGATCATATGTGGTCAATAACATCGATTGTATGTGGCCAGGTGGTCATATTTAGTCAATGACATTGATCTTATGTAGCCATGTGGCCATATTTGGTGAATGGCATTGATCCTATGCTGCCATGTGACCATATTTGGTTAAGGACATTGATTGTATGTGGCCAGATTTGGTCAATCGCTTTGATCTTTTGCTGACATGTGACCATATTTGGTCAATGACATTGATTGTATGTGCCCAGGTGGCCATATTTGGTCAATTGCATTGATCTAATGCTGCCATGTGACCATATTTGGTCAATGACATTGATTGCATGTGGCTATTGATCTCTATGCCCATATTTGGTCAATGACATTGATCGCATTTGGCCAGGTGGCCATATTTGGTCAATTACATTGCTTTTATGTGCCTGTGTGGCCATATTTGGACCATGACAATTATCTTATATGGCCATGGGGCCGTATAATGTCAGTAATGTCAACAGCATCCCGCCTCGGTGGCAGCGGATTGGATCTGCACTGTAGGCTTCCTTTCGGGTTCAGATGAGCTTGGGCCCAGCCTGAAGTTCATCCCTATTGACCACACCAAGCATGGAAGCAGATCCGTAGTGACATGGTCAGTTTGCATCCCGCAGATTTCTGATCTGAGCTCCAGGACACTGTGCCAACGCGCGCCTATAGTCCTATAGCCATATTTGCTGCCACGCCCGAGCCCTGCTTTGCCTGATTGGCATAGGCGGGGAACATATTTCCTCGATATCCATCACGTCATTCTGCTGCCTGTCCACAGACAATGAAGACACACCCTCTGCAATTGGGAAAAGGGACAGGCAGAGAGGCCATGTGGTCACGTGACCATGCAATGAAACTGAAAAAAAACAAATGCAATCATTATTTTCAAAGATTCTTATTAAACACTTATGAAGATTTTTGGAATATGAAGCTGTGCTTTCCTTTAATAGATGTTAGGGTTGCCACCTGTCCCGGATTCACCTGGACAGTCTGGGTTTCAGGCCAGCTGAAACCCAAACACAGCACATACAGGACTCAAAACCCAGACTGTCCAGGTGAATCCGGGACAGGTGGCAACCCTAGACGTTTTATATACTTTAACCTGTTCAGTTTCCTAGTATGGTCAAAGTACAGGTTCCCTTTTAAAATAAAACTGCTCTTCACCCCTGAAGGTTGGCGGGGACATCCACAAGTACATTCCTCTCCCATGTGATCTGCTCGGTTATGCGCTATGTTGTGTATAAATAGTATCAGAATTAAATAGATAAAGATTTTAAATAATTGGAAAAGAATAAACACAGTGGATAATGGTCGGGCCGGTCTGATGAGAAGCGTGGCGTGCCTCGGTTTACTTCCTGTTGGCGGAGCTTCTAAAGATAGCGCAGTAATTGTATAATGGTGATCTGGCCCTTTTATCCTTATGAACAATCATCATTTTGGTAAGTGGACGCAGTTCCTGCATCACGTCATCATAACACAGACACCAGGCTTGGCCCCGTCCTGTAGACGACCTCGGCTTTATTTAATGCGATCTTATTTAAAGTGGAATGGCAACATATGCCTTGGCGTTGTTTATAAATTGTAACAAAGTAGCAAAACGTTTACGTTATCATTGCTAGTTTGCTACATTGTTTTCCCAAACCTTGAAGCTATCCACCTCCATCTCCAGCTTTCAGGGCTGGTGCAAAGTTATGCGACACCCCACGTGCACGATTGCCGCTCGGATTGCCGTGCAGTCAGGAGTCACATAGGTGTGCACCGATCGCACTGTGGGTGCCATTATTTTCCAATGGCACCCCAGTCGCACCGGACGGATCGCGAGGTTTCCCCCCACCTATGCGACTCCTGACCAGAATCGTCAGGAGTCGCATCTTTTTTTTCTGCATCTGTTCTACTTAAAGGAGAACTATGAGGTGAGTGAAAAGCACTCACCTCATAGTTCTCCTTTAAGTAGAACAGATGCAGAAAAATTCCTGAATGATATATTGATACGGGTGATCTGGGGCACAGAGGGGGATGAGTGCCGGAAGATGAATTTGATGCTGGAAGTAAGCCTTGTAGCTGCTCTGCTGGGCGACTGTATATAAACGCACAGCAAAGAGGCATGCAGAGAAGAGCTGTAGTCCGGCAGGCCGGGTCAGCTACCTGCAGGCAAGAAAGTCCAGCAGCAGGAGATGAAATCGTAGTTGATTGGCAGGCCAGGATCAGCAACATGCAGACAACACAGGATCAGACAGGAGGCAGAAGAGTAGTCAAACGGGCCGGGGTCAGGATACCAGAAGATCAGCAGGGTCAGGTAACAAGCCGGGTACAGCAACGGGAAGGCAACAAAACAGGATACAGGTTCAGGATACAAGACACACAACTGAAGAGTACTCGGCACTGGAGGCTTGGGGAGGCTCAGCTTAAATAGCCCATTTGGTGCCACAATACATCGGAGGTGCGCACGTGCATCCTCGTGCACACGCGAGCCTGCACAGAGGTGAACGGCCCGACCTGGCACTGTGGGCCATGCCGTGCACATGCACAATTACCTTCGTTCGGGCTTCCTGACACACCCCTGCGCTAGACAGCCCACCCAGGGTGATGATGAGCTCACTTTCTTATACTGCAGTTAGCCAATACACCTTGGTCACTGACCTGCCCCCAAGCTGCAGCTGATTGGATAATGAAAGGACACCCTAATCAGGCTATTTTGAGGTTCCCTGCTCCTGCCATTAAGTTCCCAGGTTCAGAATGAAAGCACCGTGCAATTCTGTAGGGACATATTCCAGGAGGCCAATATGAAGACAGATTCATTCAGATACTTATACTACCTTCAGGTAGACATTAATTTAATTATTTATTTAATACATACTTAGGAGTACTTATGACCACATTGTGATCTTTGGTGCACTTCAAATCTTGGAACCTTATTTTTTTCTGTGGCTGCATGCCTGAGAAGTGTAGCAGAGCTGCATTAGCCACTCAACAGGGTCTGCAGTTGGAGTTTTTAGATCTGCACACGCATACTAGGCCCCCAATATCTTGAGGTCCTAGAATGTGGGGGCTAATATCTTTGGAGTGTGGGAGGAAACCCACCCACGGAGAACATGCAAACTCTATGCAGATAGTGTCCAACCACTAAACCACTGTGCTGCCCTATTGAACATCCTTAAGATGAATTGGAATGTGGATTGTGAGTCAGGTGTCCTCATCTACAATCCATATACCCATTGCACTCCTGACTGCTTATCCACAATAAGAATGGTTGGGTGCATTGGCAGTTGACGGATGGCTACCGTCCAGTAATACAAAAAAGTATGGACACGTCACTCCAAAGGTAGAAGTAAGTCTATTCATTGTAATGAGCATGTTTTGCACGTGCGTCAATAAATAGACGTACTTCTACTTTTGGAGTGCCGGTGTCCATACTTTTTTGTTTTTAGGTGTTCTCATCTAACAGCAGTACCCGATCTCACAAATGGGCACAAATGTCCACAGACACCCTCCAAAATCCTTCCCAGAGGATTGGATTCTGTTATAGCCACAGATGAGGACCATTTCTATATTATTGGACCTGGTTTTGGAAAGGGATGTCCAACCCAGCTCCATAAGTTTGGTTTGGAGGAACTCGGGTGGTTTGCACAGAGCCCTGACCTCAACCCTACTGAACTTGTTTGGGATGAATTGGAACCCTGATTGTGAGGCAGGTCTTCTCATCTAGTATGAGTACTTGATGTCAAAAATGGGTACAAATCCCCACAGACACCCTCCAAAATATTGTGGAAATCCTTCCCAGAAGGACGGAATGGCCAACAATCTATCTATCTATCTATCTATCTATCTATCTATCTATCTATCTATCTATCTATCTATCTATCTATCTATCTATCTATCTATCTATCTATCTATATGTTGCTTTCTTCTTAAGTGAACATTGATACAGATTACATTTTATTGTCTCCCGCAGACACTCCTGAATGAACTAGACAGAAGTATGGGAAGATACAGAGACGAGGTTAATCTAAAGACCGCCATCATGTCTTTTATCAATGCCGTCCTGAACGCCGGCGCAGGAGAGGTGAGTTTATTGCAATTTGACAAAATCATGTTTTTGCTTCATCTATATGCCATGAAATTGTGGGGCTGAGGTCACAGTGCCCATGTATAACTGCTCCCTCTTCTTTCCCAGCTCTGTGCTTTTATTATATTCTGCATAGAAGAAAGCAATGTTTCTTTTTATTTCACTTTACTCTTCACTACAAATTGAAGCGCTCAGAGGACCAGAGGATATGGAAGTTTCCATGAGCCTTGTCCTTGCTTCCTCCATCTTTTCTTATTTGTTGAAGGCTTGCTATCCATGTCCTATCTCTCCCATCTCCATGGCCTCCCATCTACCCTGATCTACCTGAGAGCATCAGAGCAACCCAGGGCCACATGTTGCTTTTCAGTTTTGACTGAAACAAAAGAGTGAATGAGGAGGAAGATACAAGACCAGTCACCCTGCACAAGGAGAGAGCAGCAGTGACTGGTCTTTATTACAGGAGAGGCGAAGAAAAGACCAGTCACCTGCACAAGGAAAGAGAGCTGCAGTGAGCTGTCTTTATTACAGGAGTGGGTGGAGACAAGACCAATCACCCTGCACAAGGAGAGAGCAGCAGTGACCAGTCTATATTACAGGAGGGTGTGGAGACAAGACCAGTCACCCTGCACAAAGAGAGAGAGAGCAGCAATGAGGGGGTGGAGACAAGACCAATCACCCTGCATAAGGAGAGAGCTGCAGTGAGCTGTCTTTATTACAGGAGGGTGTGGAGACAAGACCAGTCACCATGCACAAGGAGAGAGCAGCAGTGACCGGCCTTTATTACAGGAGGGTGTGGAGACAAGACCAGTCACCCAGCACAAAGAGAGAGAGAGCAGCAGTGACTGGTCTTTATTACAGGAGGGGGCTCCATGCCTGAGAAGTGTACAGGAGATCAAAGTTTTCAGACTTCACTGGCTCTATACTTTTTCCGGGTCATTGACCCGTTTTAAAGTGGTCTTTCTGATTTTCACGCAGGTGCAGCGTTTTCTAAAGCAATGCATGGCAATGATTATAAGGAACAGTTGATTTAAAGGGGCCTCTTCTTATACATACAGCCCCCCTGCGTCTTCAGCCTCAGGGGGTCTGTTTTATTTCACTGCCCGGACCTGCACACACTTCATAACAATACCCTCATCCACTCCGCACTTGAAAACAAAGAGTCAGCTGTGATTGAACGGTTGCAGAGCTGTTCCTTTAAAAGGCCATTTCGTGGGGCCATTAGGGCTGAGACGCACACAGTGCCCGTAGCACAAAATATTCTAATGCTTTATGAGCTGATCTTCTTTCCAAAACACAATTCACATGCGTGATGTATGACAGACACTGCAGAGCCATTCGGTGGTACTTAGAAGATAGCGGGATCAAAGGGAATCAGCACAGAGTTTAAGGGGAACTCCAGCTTGGTAAAAAAAAAAACACATTTGTATTTAAAGTGTATTGTTTTTGGTTTTGGATGGAGTGTTAAAGGGCTGGAACCCCTTTCAGGTTTCTGTTGCTGCCTGTGTGCTCGGTGGGCAGATTCACCCTCTCTATATGTTCTAGGGGCCGTTGTCAGCAGGCCAGAAACTGAAGGGTAAACCAAAATTTTAGCATTACCTAGTGACGTCACAAAGGGGGTGCAGGGGGTTCCATCCGCATCAGATGACACCATTAGACGGGGTGACACCAAAATGACTGGCGGGCATTTAGGTGTCACACCCTCTGAAAAGTCGGGCACTTGAAGGGTAAACCAACATTTTTGCATTACCCAGTGGCGTCACGAGGGGGGTGCAGGGGGTTCGACCCGCACCGGGTGACACCATCAGAGGGGTAACACCAAAAGGACTGACGGCCCTTTTCCTGTCACCCCCTCTGAAATGTCGGGAACTTGGCCATAGACCGACAGCTGCACAAGAGAGGAGGGATACCTTATCCCACCAGATGAACGTCCCCTCCTCTCTTTGCTGTCTCCCATCACCAAGATGGCCGCCAGCAGTTAAGTGTGCGTGATGTCATTACACGTGTGCGCTATGATGTCATGCGTAATGACGTGGCACCGAGTGACACCCAGCGGCCGCATAGGGTGACACCTGGCCTGGGGACACCTCTGCATTACCAGGGCTGGAAGTGGGGGGGAAATCTACCAATGGGTATGGCTGTTCTGGCGACACCTGTCCCAGAGATTTCTTCTTACTTTCTGTTGTGTCTCCAGGACAGGAAGTGAAGTAAAATCTCCTCAGTGGGACACTGATCAAAAAAATAAACTGGCCGGGATTCTATCTCTTCCCTATTCTATCCAAAATGTAAAAAAATATTTTGTCCTCCCTGGTTCCACCTTTTCCCCCCTCATGAATCATGGCAGATTTGTCGTCCCGGCGGTGTAATGCGCAGTGAGGTCACAGCGTGACAGCGAGGGATGAAATACGGCTGACCTGGGACTGATCGATGGGCTGCGAGCTCCGCTCTGGAGCCAAAAATATATAAAGGGGCCAATGAGCCGCTCCGGTGGGGCCGCCGGCCAACACACCACGGCAATAACTCAATTAATGTATAAATTAAATTAGAAATGATATCGCCCATGACCTGTAATAAGTCGCTGCGGCTTTGACATCCATACGCCAGTTTCGGGGGCTGTGATTGGTTCTGAGATGTTACATTTCTGCCTTTCATCCCAATGACCTTTCCTTTATTCTTTTCCCTCAAAGGACAATTTAGAATTCCGGTTACATCTGCGATACGAGTTCCTGATGCTGGGAATCCAGCCCGTCATCGAGAAGCTGAGAGGACATGAGAACGCCACCCTGGACAGGTAGACCAACGGCCCCCTCTGCGTCCAATCAAATCAAAGGGTTTGCATCAAGAGGCCCTGTCATATTCCATCAGATCTCATGCTGCAGAGGGAAGGGGTGGGGAAGGGTGCATGGACAGAGGACTGTGTACTCCATCTCTTTTTCTATTTCAAAAGAGAAATGTCAGGGGTCTGTTTAGACCTCCAATATTTCCCTGAAGCACCCATCAAAGGAAACACATTTTTATGCTATTTTGGATTTGGCCACCAGCACATTCTGCCCATGCGTTCCGCCATCCTGGAGGCGGCAAGCATTACGTCACATGACGCCGTGCGTACGCAGCGATGGGTGACATAACACGTCTGTTGCGGGGCACAATTTTCCGTTCTTGCCTCGGGCGCAAAAAGTGCTAGCTATGGCTATGGTGTGGGGTGACCCTTAAGGAGATAATGGGTGTGATGTGTCTGTGTAGATTGTTCTTGTTTTTTTTTGTTTTTTTTGATTCTCCTCCTGTGTGTTTCAGACATCTGGACTTCTTTGAGATGGTGAGAAATGAGGATGAACTGGAGCTGGCCAAGAGGTTCGACCTGGTGAGTCAACACAGGACAGCTAGTGTAAGGAGTAGTAGTGTTTAATGGAATGGGGGGCAGACCCAGTGACCTGGGAACCACTTTTGCTGACCTGGGTGTTCTGCAGGAGGGGAGATCCCAATCACACCCCTGCCGCCTCCTTGCTCTCCATTATACTGCAACCCTGATATGTTAGTGTCATTATAAGAATCTTCTCTCAGCCTCAAAACAGATAAAAGAGATACCGGAAACAAACAGGAGGCCTAAAATAAATAAGAGATCATGAAGAGTTTATTTTATCAATGTGGATATATTCTATATTATAATAAAATGGCAAAAATAAAAGCCGACACATTTCAGGACTTCTAAGAGGCTCCCTTAATCAGGGCTTAAGATTACTGGGAAAAACATGGACGGTCTTAGATTTAAAGTGACACTGCTGCTATAATTGAAAAAAAAATTAAAAGACCCAGTGTGTAAAAGAAGGAGATTTAACTCCCCTTTCTGACCAGGGGTGTGGTAGATCTTTGCTCTGTTGAAGAGTCCCGCCACCACTGCTTACTGACACTTCTTGGAGTGTCAGATAGATTGTCCCCCACTGGGAGCTGTGGTTCCTTCCATGCCCAGTAGTGACATAGGAGATGGTGGAAGAAACCACAGCTTCAAGAGGGGAACCAGAGGATCGACAATCCTGAATGTGCTTAATACCACCGGATACTGAACAACCTGAATATAGAGCCATCTATCCAACGTTCCATCCAGAGCCTCCTATAGATACATCCTAAATATAGAGCCACCAATCCAAGTGTCCATCCAGAGCCTCCAATAGATACAACCTGAATATAGAGCCATCTATCCAACGTTCCATCCAGAGCCTCCTATAGATACATCCTAAATATAGAGCCACCAATCCAACTGTCCATCCAGAGCCTCCAATAGATACAACCTAAATATAGAGCCATCTATCCAACTGTCCATCCATAGCCTCCTATAGATACATCCTAAATATAGAGCCACCAATCCAACTGTCCATCCAGAGCCTCCTATAGATACAACCTAAATATAGAGCCATCTATCCAACTGTCCATCCAGAGCCTCCTATACATACAACCTATATATAGCCATTTATCCAACTGTCCATCCAGAGCCTCCTATAGATACATCCTAAATATAGAGCCATTTATACAACTGTCACTCCAGAGCCTTCTTTAGATACATCCTCAATATTGAGCCATCTATCCATCCAGAGCCTCCTATAGATACATCCTAAATATAGAGCCATCTATCCAACTGTCCATCCAGAGCCTCCTATAGATACATCCTAAATATAGAGCCACCAATCCAACTGCACCATAAGCCGTCCTCCACTTTGCTGATTCATCACCTTCCTGGTACACAGCGAAGCTAGTAGGTCCTCGCCTTGATAAATCGGTCTATTAGGGTCCATGCAGATCTCATTAGCGGTGCCTGTTGTCCATTAACAAAGAATGTCCTGAATTAACAAAGCCGGCTGAAAAGAATTAGGATTAATACGGCGCATGTTTCCAATTATTACTCGGTAGGCCTGCAATCATCCCAGAGTAATTGGTTTATTTGCCGAGACAACTGCAGAGTGGGCGCAGGTTGCGTTAAGTACTTGTGCGATCTACGGGTGGGGGGATGGTCGACTCTGGTCAGCACGTGCGCTCTATTCTTTTATTTAGGAGGCTTTATAAGCCCTCCGGGGCCCATGAGTCCGAAAATAACTTCACAACACCAACATTCCATCTGTCTAAAGAGGACCTGTCATTGTTTATCATTATATCAGCAACAATGTTGACGCAAGATCCTGAATGTTCTTCTGTATAGCTATATGAAGAGTTTTGCCGACAGGTGTCATCCTTCCTACATGGTGTTTGTCTTTCCATCATACTCCGCAGTAGGTGTTGGTGCTGGATCCCAAAGTAGACAGAAATCAGGGGTTAAAAAAAAACTTTTAAAGGCAGCTCTCTTCCAACCTGGGTTGTCCCAAAAGGATCCCTGGAAAATGTGTCCCTGGATAGGTTTTTAGAACATTAGAAGGGTGAGAGTGCCACCAAGCCTCAAAAAGCCCTTTCAGTAAGAATTTCCATTATTTACAACACGCAGTCAAGAAGCTAACACGTTTTGGGGTAGGGGGGGGTTAGAACTCCCCCTTCATCAGGGAAACAGGGTAACGTAACACAATATAAGATGAGTGTCTAAGAATACAACCTGTAGGCCCTAAAATAATAGTGATGCAATGATTCTGACTGTAAACAGAAATATATAATACATTAGTAATATATAAAGTAATATATAATAATAATTATTATATTACTTGCAGTTCCGACACCCGCCTGGCGGAGACAATTGCTGTGAGAAAGACCGCAAGGAGGGTAAGGTGATATAGAGAACATGAAGAAGGAGGATAAAATGGTGCCAGTGACAATGCTTTCAGAACCAATGGCAGGTCCCACTTAGGAAACAGCGGTTTCACCGGAGGCCTTAATTTCATTGCTCCCTGCAGGAACTGCCGTACGACAGTATGAGTTGCCCAACGACACTTGGTTAAGGCTGACAAGGCCGAAACCTGGACCCGCAACGTGTTGTAACTTAGGCCAGCGTCTAGGGCCGACTGCAGAAATTCCAGGATGTTGCCCACCGTCGGATCAGTGGATTGCCACCCCTTCTGTGCTGCCATATTGAGAAACCTCTCCCAGACCCTATAATACGTAGTTTTCGTGGATGGCTTTGTTATGTCTCCAGTTGACGGGACAACTCCTTGGTGTCTCCAGTTGACGGGACAACTCCTTGGTGTCTCCAGTTGACGGATCAATTCAAATGGTGATCCTATACTTATTAACAATTAATGTTTTCTTATCCAGAAGTTTCTGTGGGTCAGCAGCAAGTCGGGTTATCCAGATCTCATCCTGATGGTAATCCCTCAGAGTACAGACACTCCTTGTCAAGAAAACGTTCTAAGGGAGAGAGCAATGGATATTTGAATGCATATGCTTCCTTCAGTCCAAATGGATTTGGGTAGTGGCCTTGGGAGGCGGGCTTTAATTTATAGTATAACTGGTCCTGTGATTATACCGGTATTAATATAATACTGAAGTTGTATGCTCTAAAACACAATAATAGTAATATATAATAATAATAAAATAAAAAATAATAATGTAAAAAATGATATATATATATATATTGTTATATTAATATAATAGTGAAGTAGTATGCTCTTAAACACAATATATACCAAAACTATACTAAATAATGATTCTGACCATCAATAGAAACATAAGGATCGATCATCACATTTAGGAAAAGGCCTTAGATGTGCTTTAAACTTAACCTCCAACGTTCCCTTCAGTCTTGCACAGATCTGCCTGCATTGCGTAGAGATGCACACAGACCAAGTGATGACATCATTGGTTATAAAATCAAATATGTAATGAAAAGCAGAACGTTTTTTATTTATAAAACTTATTAGAATGAATAAAAAAAATCAGGGAAGGTAAAATATGATCAGATTAAACTTCAGCTTTCAACGTCGTAAACTACAGCTATTAGTATAACCCGTGAAATAAACTGCAGCCTGAAAACTTGGATGTGATGAAGTAATTGTAGGAGAAATATCATCAAACTATAACTGCGACATATTAAATATAATTGAAGTTTGCTTTCATTTCACAAAAAACACATAGTTGAGGTTGCGGGGAATAGATGAACCCCAAACAGGCAATTTTGCGGCTTAAATATTTTTGCAGAGCGTTACCAAAAAAGAAATCTTTCATTGTTTTCTGCTGAACATTGTTTAACTAACGCTGGAACCGAATTGCGTCTCTGGAATTGGCAGAAGGATTTGGCTGCAGCTGGATGAGAGATTTTTCTTTTTTTTTTGCTTTTACTTTTGGGCAATGGCGATCATTCTGCTGCATTATTGAATATTAGAAGGAACGTCAGGCATTCAGAAAAGTTTTTTTTTATTATTCAAATGTAGTCATTACAGAAAATGCTGGAAATGTTCTCAAGTGTGCCATATTTTTCAGGTATGTCTCATGGATTTACTGTTCTTGGCGTTGGAACATTTCATGTTAAAAAAGCCTTTTTAATTATTATTATACAAGATTTATATAGCGCCAACAGTTTGCACAACGCTTTACAATATAGGGAAGACATTACAATCACAATACAAATCAAGACAAGATGGTAAGGAGGGCCCTGCCCCTGAAGGCTTACAATCTAAATATATATCATAGCGGTCCATTTTTATTCTTATGTTTTTGGCTGTATTTTAGAGCTCCTCCTATAGGGAATGCTATTGGTCGTATAAATGTTCACAGATCTTCATGTAGTGATGATCCTACTTTTCATATGAGGCAGTGCTGTATCTTTTTAACGAGCTGCGTCATCATGTTGTCCCAACTTTTGTCATTCTGTATTAATTTCTACTATGTTTGGTATTTGTAAGACAGTATAATGTATTAAAGTGTATGCATTGTCTATTTTTTTTTTTTTTGATAGGATGGTAGACAGAATTCAGACCCTGAACACAAATCAATTTAATTATGTTCCCTCTTCAGGTTCACATAGACACCAAAAGTGCCACCCAGATGTTTGAGCTGATAAAGAAGAAACTGAAGCACACGGATGGGTACCCGTACCTGCTGTCTATCCTCCAGCACTGTCTGCAGATGCCTTGTGAGTACGTCAGTAGTAGGACTTCCACCGGTTGGTGGAGAAAGTCTCAGAATGGAGCAAACTTTCCAAGGTTCCGATTGGCTGTGTTGGTGTGGGGGGCAATTACACTACTTTAGGAAAGAGAACTTCAAAGTGGTCAAAGCTGCTCAACCTCAAGAGCCCTTGGGAGTCAGTGATTGGCTGTGTTAGTGTAGGGGACAAATACACTATTATAGGAAAGGGAACTTCAAAGTGGTCAAAGCTGCTCAACCTCATGAGCCCATGGGGTCAATGATTGACGGTGTTGGTGTATTGGACACATAACTATTTTAGGAAGGGGAACTTCAACGTGGTCAAAGCTGCTCAACCTCATAAGCCATTGTGGTCAGTGATTGGCTGTGTTGGTGTAGGGGGCAAATACGCTATTATAGGAAAGGGAACTTCAAAGTGGTCATAGCTACTCAACCTCAGGAACACTTGGGGCAAATAACAGTTTTAGGAAGGGGAACTTCAAAGTTGTCAAAGCTGCTCAGCTGTGAATGTTCTCTTAACTTGATTGGGTACAGGTTGGTTCAGTCCTGTGAATGTTCTCTTATTCTGGTTGGGTACAGGTTGGTTTAGCCCTGTGAGTGTGCTCTTTATTTAAATGGGTACTGAGAAATGCCTTGTATAATGCCTCCTAATTATGCGACAAGCCTGCTTCTGTCATTAAGAGTGTATGGGGCGCGTATACCTTTGTTATTATTACATCGCTCCTCTTGTAATTTTTATTCATCTTGTATTACATCCTTTAAATGACCAATAAAAATTACATGCGTAAATGGGTACTGAAAATTAGAGAAAACATCCCTTTTTTGGCATTTTTAATAACATGACACCAGAATGATTGAAGGTTGCCCGGTCTCGGGTTATTGTCTTTATTTGCAAACATTTGCAAACATATCCCTCATTTGCAAACATACAGTAAAAAATGTAGTAATGGGCTGGATCTTGGGAGGAGTTATGCAAATATCAGAATGCCTTGATGGGTGGATGTCAGTCTGGAGGAGTGGGTGTTCCTAGGCAGGATGTATATGAACTCTGACTGCCCTAGGTAATGCCCACATGTGATGCTGAGCCTCCATGATTGGAAGAGCCAATATTCAGTAAATAAAGGGGGGGGGGACTGCAAGTGAGCAATAAAGAGTTCACAGTTGTAACCCTTCCACCCTCTCTCCAGAGCTAAAAATAATTTCGGCTGTAGTTGTCCTGTAAATCAGAGATTAAAGGTGCCGTGAATTGGGGAGTGGCTTCCAGTGGTTCAATAAATGTTAGAAATAGCTGATTGGCTCCAGTTATACATTTGGTTTGCAGGTAAACAATCTCTGTGGCTGTGGAACCATAAGTGCCAGCATGCTTTCTTGGCATTTTTAATAACATGACACCAGAATGATTGAAGGTTGCCCGGTCTCGGGTTATTGTCTTTATTAAAAATATAATCACTAATATCTCTGCTCGGACACAGACAAGCGTAACGGGACAAATCTGCAGCACTGGCAGCTCCTGGACCGGATTTTACAGCAAATCGTCCTTCAGTATGAGAGCGGAGAAGATCCGGATGTGTCCGCACTGGAGAACTTCAGTGTCAAGAATATCATAAGGATGTATGTAATGAGTATGCTACAACCCCTATCACCCCCCACACTCTCGCACCCCTAACACCCACCTCCTCTTCCCTAATTTTAAACTATATTTCATTCCACAATGTTGTACAAAGAGTCATTCACCTTACTATCTGGACCAGAGGAGCTTACACTCTAATGTCCCAGTACAGTCACACACTATTATTATTATACATTTATATAGCTCTGACATATTATGTAGTCCTGTACAAAGGACACTAAACCATTCACATCAGTTTTTGCACCAGAGAAGCTTACAGTCTAATGTCCCCACCACTGTAACACACTATTATAATATATTGATATATCTCTGACATAAGCTGCAGTGCAGTACACTGGATCTCAGTACAAATGAAGTTCCTATTAACAGCTGAACAGATGCAGTCACAGTCCAGTCTTTCTCTGCGGGGATGTATTGTGGACAATGGTGTTGAGCTGTGTAATAAGAGAGATCTGCTCTTTCTTTCCTGCAGGTTAGTAAATGAGAACGAGGTGAAGCAATGGCGGGAGCAAGCAGAGAAGTTCAGAAAAGGTAAGTCGCTCTTTGTATGGATCACATGTAGGTCTCTAGGATGGTAAGACGTCTAGACTGGGGTTAGGTGAGTGCAATGATGGGGTGTTACCTCCTGGCCCCGGTCCAGAGATCTTCACCTAGATAGTACACCTACAATAGTAGTAAAAGATATCACTGACGTGGCTTTGTTTATAAACATAGATTACCATGTCAGTATTAATGACTTGTGAAGAATTTTTTTTGCCAAAATATTTTATTGATTTTGAAGCGCTCACCCCCTAAGAAGCCGCTGGAATAACGCAGGTCATCACTAGTTGTCCAGGGATTTTGGTCTTCAGCTGCTCCATTAGCATTCAACAACCCACAAAGCTGATATCCACTCCAGTAATGCAATGCTGAATACCTTTTATTAACATCTTCATACTGGGGAGAGAGGGTATATAGGTCCTAGACATCCAGGGTGGTACAGACATAGACTCCAGACTCACCAGACCTTTGTTAGCATCCAGTGTAGATCCAGTTATGGTACAGTGAATGGTAATTGGAGTAACAGATGAGCAGGGATGAGCACAGATCCTCACCAGGAGAGACACCAGTCATGCTCCAGAGGTCCTCTATGTTTCAGGCACCTCCAGCAGACATCAGCTTCCCTGGTTCTCCTCCTCTGATAACACCACAGGCCTTCTCCATACTTGAGGCCTCAGGGAAACTCTTCCCACACTCCAGCTTCTGCCCACCCCCAGGCCTAGCCCAGTCCTGTAATAATCCATGGCTGGTCCCGACTAGTCTGAGCATATGGCAATTCCATCCAGTATATGTACCCTATCCCAGCATGCACCACTGGTTGAGTTAAACTCTTTGATTGGCTGCTGTACTGTGTATACACTCACAGTGCCTCTCATTGGCTGTCCCACAATACAGCAGAGTCACACCCAGGTAGGGGGATGGGGGTGGTACAGTCAATGCCAGACACCTGGAATTAACCAGATAAATGCCAACAATTATCCAGCCAAGCTGACTACAGCCCTGGCTATCTCTAAAGGTCTAGTAGCCACATCACAAAAGGATTTTTTTAAGTTGATGGCACTTGGAATAGTTGTTTATGTCACGGCTGGGATGTTTGCAGATCTGTAAAATGTAATTCAGAAAACAAAATGGGGGGGGGGGGGGGGAAAAAAAATCATTAGCTGGTATGGTGTTTCCCATCCTAGTTAGAAAGCAGTAGCTGTCCTCGAGCTGGTGGGGTTTGGGCTGGGGACATGGGAGCAGGTTTTAGTAGAGACCTTATTTTGGCTGATGAGCACGCAAAGACCGCTTCTCAGATCCAACAGTCATTCAAATTATTTATTTATTTGTTATTTTGGGTATTATGTTTGGTAACTGTTCAGTTTTTGGTATGCTTAATAAAGGGCTGCTGTGGCCATTTAAGTCCATGTCACGCAGTCTGTGTGGTCATTGGGGTTTTTAACAGAGAGGACGAAATTGACAATTTCATCAGTCAAGAAGAACAGAAAACTAAAACGAGCTGCAATAACCATGACTCTTCATTAGGGATGTCCCGATGCCACTTTTTCAGGCCCAAGTACAAGTACAAGTACATCCCCTCATGTACTTGCCGATAATCATAGCTCTTAACAACTGCCCTTGGATACTAGGACATCAAAGCCCATACAAATATCCTCACCTGGCCTGAATGATTGACAATGTTGCAGCACCCGGCCCTAATCTCTCCCGCCACAGGAGAGATTAGGGCCGCAGAAGAAGACAATTGTTGATCCATAGCGTCCTAGCTTTAGAAAGATGGGTAGGACTGGACATGAGGATTTTTTTTATACATGAAGAGCATGCCGTGATATATTTCAGGCCATTGTTAAGGTGAACGTTCACTTTTCCCTCCTGCAGAGCACACGGAGCTGACCAGCCGGCTGGAGAAGAAGGAGAGGGAGTGCGAGACGAAGACTCAGGAGAAGGAGGAGATGATGAAGACCCTGAACAAGATGAAGGACAAGCTGCAGAAGGAGTCGTCGGAGCTGCGGCATGCGCGGGACCAGATGGGGGAGCTCGTGGCTCAGCTGAACGAGTTCTCGGTAAGGGGGAGGGGGGATCTGTGGATTTGGTTGATTTGGGGTCCCCCACATAAGAAGCAGACACAAGAGCAACCTATCCCATAGATATCAAGACCATTTAGATTGATTGTGATTGCCCAACTCCAGGCAAATATGGTTTTCGATAAGTTCTACCAGTTTTTTTTATATTTTTTGCTTGTGACCCCATTTGGGAGATTTTCAGTAACGTCCTGTCCTTGTAACACATGTACAAGAGTTGGGGGAAGCCATTGTTTCCGAGATAGAAGGTCATAGACAGCAATATAAACTTGATTAGTGGCTTTAACTGTTCACCGCATAATAAAATAAAGCAGCCAACGCATTTCGAGGGCTTAAGTGTTCTAGCTCAGGGGGTAGGCAAAGTCAGGCTCTCTAGCTATGGTGAACAGGGCAGCCATCAGAAATGTTTGGGCCCCTTACACGGCTTTAGGCCAGGCCCCCCTCCCGCACCGCTGGACGCAGGGCTTAGCGACGTACACTACTAGGGCCAGGCCTCCGCCTACTTGCCCTTCACCGGTGGCCGATAGTCATGTAAGAGACCCGGGCAGGCCCCCCAGGCTGCCCGGGCCCCTTACATGAGTATCGGCCGTACCTCCCTGATGGCTGCCCTGATGGTGAACCTACAAATCTCATCATGCATCTGCCCCTAGGAGTCATGCCTGTAGCTGTCAGAATCTTGCAATGCCCAGTGGGATAAGTAGTTGCATTACATTTGGAGGGCTGGAGTTTAGTCTAGTTCATGAGAATACCAGTGAAGCAATGTGCCAGTTTTAGCAGATACCTCTCACGAGCTAGATCCAATGGAGACCTATGTGATATCTGTTACTGAGTCCATCTGAGCCCTGTCAAAGTCACTGAGCCCCGATAAAGGGGTGCTTTTTGGCCTTTGAAATGCGTTGGCTAAATAAGTAAAGTGATTTGGACTCTTTCACCATTTGGTTTGATACCCCAGCTCCTGTATTTATGCTTTGAGTCACTTTCTTTGCACCCACCAGTGAGAAGACTTGTCTTACGTGATACTCCATCTTTATTCAGGCATCATCCAGGGTCACCATCAACTTCCCAGACAGAGATGACACAGTCATGTAAATCCCGGTGTCTTTGTAGTTCTTGACTGTGTTCACAAATGCCTGACATAGATCAGCTCCTGCTGCAGCCTCTCACCTTGTGACTTGCTACAAAGTCGCAATGTTTTGGTCTGATCGTTGGGGGAGAGGAGACTGAATAAATGCTTCCTCCTGCCTGTAGCAGACGGATTACATCATCCCAGCCTAGGCAAAGTCACTGACTGGAGCCCAGTGATGGCTTTTTATTGGTAAAAGGTGAAGCATTTCTGAAAAATGATACTTTTGCTGAATATTGGGAAGTGTAAGGATGTTATTCATGCAGAACTGTAATGAGAATGACAGGTGCACTTTAAATTTCCTAATTAACAATACCGACTGCAAACCTATATATTTGAAATGAATATTTTGATGAGGAAATGATCATAACATGCAATAATGAACAGGGATTAGGGAAAAAAATCGAATGTCTATTTCTTATTGGGTCCTGTAATTATACTTCCGTGTCTTATGTTTTTCAGAATGGTGGTGCCCTTTCCTTTCCTCCTCCTCCTCCCCCACCTCCAGGGGGTCCCGTTCCTCTCCCTCCATCCTTATCTGAAAACATGCCACCCCCTCCTCCCCCACTATCATTTTCCTGTTTCCCTCCGCCTCCTCCACCACCACCACCACCCGGGGGCCCCCCGCCTCCTCCTGGTTCAACACAAAAACATGATCTTCACAATTACATTTTATTATATTTATCCTCATCACAGAATTTCTATAGCACCAGCAGTCTGGGCTTTACGATATAAAGGGAGACGGTACAGTTACACAACATTTTAATACAAGAGAGGTAGGACAGCCCGGCTCATATGAGCTTACAATCTAAAAGAGAAGGGGAAGTGATAGGGAAGTTATGTTGAGTTGTTGGAGAAAGTAAAAGTTCAGTTGTTTGGGTATAGGTGTGCTAGGCGTCCCTGAAGAGATGTGTTTTCTGAGATTGCCTAAAGGTGGACCAAGTGGGAGATAGTAGCCATGGAGATTGGGGTACAGAGTTCCCTAGGATGGGAGAGGCTCTGGAGAAGTCCTGAATGTGAACATTGGAGGCGGTAACGAGGGGGGCCAGAGAGCAGGAGCCGGTCTTTGTCTTTGAGCTGAGGCTGGTGATGTAGCCAGGGGCAAAGTTGTGGATGACTTTGTATGTTGTTAGTATTTTGAATGTTATTTGTGGGGTGAGTGAAAGCCAGTGGAGGTGTTTCTAGGGAGGGGTGGAGGATGGAAGCCAGTGGAAGGATTGGCAGACAGAGGGGCAGTTGGCACTGTATGATTGGTAAGGTGGGTTTGTCTGGCAGCAGCATTTTATGATGGACCGAATAGGGAGAGCCTATGTATAGGTAGGCCTATGAGGATGGTCAAGGCAAAAGATTACACCTAGAACCCTGGCATGAGGGAAGGGAAGGATAGTTGTGCCATTAATCTCAATGGAAAGGGGGGTGCACGGGGGAAGAAATAGTAAGAGCGGACTTTTGAAAGATTGAGTTTGAGGCCGTGGTCTGACATGCATACTGATATGTCAGTGTGTGTATTAGTGATGTGCGAGGCGACTGAAGAAGTAAACTGAGGAGTGGAGAGGAAGAGAGGGATTTGGGTGTCATCAGCATAGGGATGGTTTTGGAAGCCATGCAAGGTTATCAGCTGACCAGGGGAGAAGATGTAGATACAGAATAGAAGGGGTCTGAGGACAGAGCCTTGCTGGACCCCTAAGGAAGGTGAAAGAGGAGAGGAGGAAGTAGAGTTGTAGGTGACACTACAGGAGCACTTGGATAGGTGGGAGGAGAACAATGAAAAAGCAGAGTCTTGGAGATGAAGGGAGTGAAGTTCTTTGAAGGCAGCAGAAAGGTCTGCTAGTATGGAGATATGGTCGTTGGCTTTAGCAGTTGGTGAGTTTTAGAAGGACAATTATATATAGAATGTTGCAAGCGAAAGCCAGGCTGTGTGGGCCTGAGAAGGTTGCTATCAGTGTGGTAGCAGCTCAGACGGAACATCTAAGCAAACACTGAAAAAGACTAAAGTTTCCATTTCATAAAAGTAGATGAAAGAAAAAAAAATCTAACAATCGACTCTAATAGAGCTTCTTTCTCCATCTCAATGGTCAGAGACCTTGGCATGGTTACAACCTTAGCAGAAGTTTAAAGTAGTATTAAACCGTCCTCTTTCTTAGATTAAAGAATTCATGTCCACCATCAAACTTTTGCCATGACGGTTGTCCCCGCTGGCTTACAAATTGCTTTCATAAAATCTGTTCGCTCCTTATCTCACAGTGCACCATCCCTGAACTTCCAGGTGGGGAATGTGCACTGTAGGCCTCACACAAAGGTCACATGCCCGCCTGCTGCAGGGCTACCTGCCCCATCATCCTTAGCTCTATGAAAACTAGCATAGAGCTTCTACTGATGTCTCAACCCACAGCTGTTTTTGGAGCTACTGCCAATCAATCCCTGGAGGAGGACCTGGGGAGTGACTTACCGTAGTGGGCTACGGAATCGCCTGCGTGTGTTGGTACACGGACCTAAAGTATAGTAGATCCCATCGCACTCCTGACCGGTTTTATCGCTTTTTGTTTGCCTGAAGAAGGGGCCGCTGGGTTCCGAAACGTCGCCTTTTGTTAAATGTGACATCACTTTGGTACAGGGATCGTCGGCAGGTCAGGGTGCAAAAAATTGCATTGGGACCGAATAAAAACCAGGTATAAAGAACGCAAACTCGATCACGCTAAAAATTCCCGACTGGGGTTTGAACCCTCTTCTACTTTATCCATAACCCCCATAAAGTTTTGGCTGTGGTTACACTTTGAGGACCGGTGAGGAAGAAGAACCATCAAGCTGTGCGTTGAACACTTTGGTGAGGTGGACATCGGATGTTGGATGGATCGGATATTTTGTAGCGAGAGACTGATTGTTCCCGCTTGTATGTTTCCAAGAATCCGCTCTCACGTTCCTCTCTCTTGGTTTCATTCCTGATAACATTTGACAGTCTCAGATTTGGACAGCTGCCGCACAAACCCAGCGAGTTCAGCTGATCGCTCACGCTGGGCCTCATGTGAAGCCTTCGGAATGGGCGCCTTGGGACAGATGGAATGCAGCACGAATGTTCTCTCATTTTATTACAACTATTTTTATTTAATAGCAGGGCGGTTTTTGGGTTTTGTTTTTATCGGCTTACTGTCAGGGCTTCTGGAAACACTTGTTTTTAAAGTAAATAAAAATCGAGCGGCGCTCTATCCTGGCCGCCCAGTCCGCAATTGCTGGTCGCTGTGGGTGCGCCCTCTGCTGGCAGCTATTAAAAATATCTGAACACACTTAATGCCTGATGGTCTCTGGCTTTAGAACTTCATGCAGCCAGTACAATCTGAGACATTTGAACGCCCATACTGCCTACTTATTCCAGGTTAGTGACTCATTCATTAGGTGAGAGGAGCAAGGAGGAGAATGACGGTCCCAAGAACTTCACTGTCGGCTCCTGTAATTCTTTGCTGACAGGTTCTCTTTAAGACCACGGTCATAGATGCAGAAGCACTTATGGACTTCGAGTTGAGATACATTTACTGTTATAGCTGCCAAATGATTTTTAATTCTGTTCAGCCAGTTTTTGACCCAACTGCCTTTGCCAGACAGAACAGTCAGGTTGGGACCTCCCTTTTTTTAAGCAATATAGCGTGGTGAATGACCCGACCCAAAACCTCCTGATTGAGAAATGACAGAACATCGCCGGACTGATGAGGTCATGTGCTCTTCCCTCTAGTTAGCATGTTTACAGTCTAAGACTGACAGCACTGTGCAATACAGCACATACAGACTGGTTCATCATAGTGCTAATTGAGAGATGTGCATGGGGGTTACGGAAAGCTGATAGAAAAAGCAATTTGGGTACTTATATTAGCTACACTTAAAATCACATTTAATGATACTTTACATTTATACATAACTGCATTAACTGATTTTTTTTGTGTATCCGTCTGGAGTTCAATTTTAATTTATAAGCAGCGGAAAAGATGCGAGAGCCAATTCTCTGCAAATTCTCCAGCTGTGTAGTTTGGCCGGCTAGCACAGTGGACTTGTGTAAGTAAAACCTGCTGCTAAAACAGTAACCAAAGCAGAGGTCTCAATAGCAAAGATACATGGAAGGGTTTCAGCATTGTCCGGGCTAAATAAAGAGCAACGAATATTGGGAGGTTGTCCCACCGCTCCTAACAGCACATCACGTATGAAAAATAGAAATATCCTTCACTGATCTACTCTAGATGTGCTTTGCTATTAGTCTTCAATTAAGTTCACATTTATATAGTTCTGACATATTCCATAGGGTTGTACAGAGAGCACTGAGCCAATCACATCAGTCTCTGTGTCCAGGGCCAGATTTACTCTCTCTGCTGCCCCAAGGCCAGGTTCCTCAATACGGTCCCTTCCCATAAACCCCCTCCGTGGAGATTGGCAACCAGATTTCCCACAAGGCCCGGCCTCGGGGCAGCAGGGAGTAGAGGGGCAGAAGGGGTGTGGATAATCATTTAAATGTAATTTTTTAAAACATTTTTATTTACCTTTTACTTTTTTATTTTTAATAATTTTTTAACTTTATTATTTTTTACCTTTTTATCACTTTTTTTATTTTAAGTATTATTTCTTATTTTTTACTTCTTTTTTTAGCTTATATTTATTTTATTATTTTTTTATCAAAACATTTTTTTTCACTTAACTTTAATGCTATCACACAGGAGCTAACAAGCCCCTGTGTGATAGCATTTGGAGGCGACAGGTTCTCTTTATTGAACCTGTCACCTCCAATACAAGCGTTTAAGCACAGTACTGTGCCGGAACTCCTGTGACAGCTGAGATGGGAAGGCTCCCTGCTGCCAACAGGCCGGGCCTCAGTGGCATTGTGGGAAACTCGGCCCTGTCCCTGGCAGAGGAGCTTACACTCTAATGTTCCACCACAGTCACACATTATTATTAATATTATACATTTATATAGCTCTGACATATTCAACAGTGCTGTACACAGCACACTAAGTCATATACCGTGCATCAGGCTCTGCACCAGAGAAGCTTACACTCTAATGTCCCACCACAGTCACACTATAAGGTCATTTTGGGTGTAAGCCGGTTCACCTCCAGTTTGTCTGTTGGGTTGTGGGGAGGAAGTGGAGTGCCTGAGGAAACATATGGAATCTTTCTTCACGGCCTTCTATAGAACACTCTCCTTCTTGTCTGGTTAAGCTCTTCTACAGAGAGGTATACAAATTTGAGGCTTCTATAGGAAAAATAGAAAAGCAGAATCTCGATCAGGTTATCCTACACGATTTTCTTAGGCATTGTACCCAGAAAAGCACATTTCAGCTTTGCATCTCCAAAGTCAACACGAATGTATGGTAGAAATATTTATCCAAGGGTTTTATAAACTTTTTCCTGAGCTTTTATGAAATGTTTTGGAGAGAATTTGAGCTCCTGGAAAGTGTTGGCCCCTTCGTATGTTCTCACACCTTCTTGTTCCCTGGGTGTGAAAACTATTCTTCTCCTTACGCTTCCTATAGTACCACAAAGGGGCCATTATTCTGGAAGTGGAAGGAGCAGAGTCGCCTGGTAGGAAGGTACATTCACATGGCACATGACGCTTGGCCTGTCTGAAGTTTTATGTAGGTCCTACACGACCATGGTATTTCAGAGGAAGCCTGCCACTCCCAATAACCCACTAATACCCCACACTCCGAAGCCCCAATCTCCTCCCAGATTCCCTCATATATAAAATATACTAGATCTGTGTGGAGTTCAAAAGGCCACAACAGCCTCTCTTTAATTAAATATAAAATATAAATAACAATGAAATAACATAACAAAATAATACAACCGTACAAACAAACGAGTAGTTTTCAGGTCCTTGAAGGCACCGAAAATAACCGTGCCCCCACCGTAGTCTGCGTCTTCAACCACCTATCGCAAAACACCACCTCGGGGAAATACCTGTTGACCGCAGACACTTACAGCCAATACTAAATGGTCACAACCAAATGACCATACCACTTAGAGCCTTGGTTCTCAACTGGTGGGTCATGACCCAAAAGTGGGTCGCGCCCCCGTGTTCAGTGGGTCACCGCATGTCTTCCACTTTTCTAGGTGAGAGGCTCCCCTGCCTCCCCCTAGCGCAGCACTGTCAGTTTTCGCGCCAAGCAGCCATTAAAAATATGCCCGGTGCTGAGTGTCAGCTTGAGATGGGATGAGGGTATGGCCGCAAGGGACCTTCATCCATAAGTGCATTGGTTACAGCTCCCTCACCTGTTCTATGAGGTGCCTGGACCAGAGTGACATCACACTCTGGCTCCTGCCACAGCAGCCCACACTGGACCCCAGGCTGAGGACCAACTCCAGTTCTCGTAAGGTAGGGAGACTGGGTGTATGTCAGTATTTTTGAGGGCCCATTCACACTAGTACAGTGCGTTAAATTGAACCAGGCAATCGCACCTACCATGCATTCTGGTGCACGTGGTGTGTTGCGTTGCCATTCATTTGAATGGTACACCAAACGCACCTCCCACCCACAGTTCGTATGCCCACACCGGAATGCACGGTAACCTAATGCCATGCGTTCCATTGCAGTGCGACTTGGGTCGCGACTTAAGGATAAATGTGGGTCCTGAGGTTACACAGGTTGAGAACCACTGACTTAGAGGATCCCACCCACAGGATGGGTCCCCTACCGTTTCCCAATAAACCAGCTATGAAGACCTCCTTCAAGGACCCCAAACTGCCCAACCGCTACTGTGACAAACAATCCAAAAATCCTGAAACCTTAACCTAGGCAGGTGAGAGGGAAACTCTCATGCTATCTGCAACTCTTCAACTTGATACTTCTTCCTACCTCCCACTGATCACCCTTAACAAATCCCTCCTCGGCAAACTAGGAGACTACTCCTTCGGAACCATCCCTGAACTATATAGCATACCAAACAGTGGGTGTACTGAATCTTTTTTAGGTTAATTAAGCTAGTTAGGATAATAGTATATATAATTGTTTTCATCGGCTCAGTCATTATTGGTTCCCTTTAAGATAGAGGTCAAATAGTGTAAGTACATTTATGACTAGTCTTCACCAGTTGTATATAGATGTTTCCAAACAGTCCAATGTGTTATTAAAATAAAACTAAACCTATTTACACATACCTGTTTTATTGTATAATGTATTCAATTTTAGGGTCAGAACATCCAAAAGTGATATTTTAGGTACAGGTGGGCCCTGGTGGTCCGAGTCAGCCCCTGGATCCTTTTACGTCTTAGATATTCCATCAGTGAGATTGTCCTGCCATTAGACCCAGCTATGTCCCTATCCACCTGGGAGTTTGGGTTGTCCCTGCCCACATTTCTGTGTTTCAGCTCCTCCTCGTACATAATATAAAATTAGGTATCCATATCCAATACATGATATCAAATAATAGGAAACAATCCGGCAGGGATGGCATGTGCCTCTCATAATGGCAGAGCTATAGCTACCATGGGGCGAGTGAGGTACTCGCCTCAGGCGCAGCTGAGAGGGGGCGCAGCTAGGGCCGGCCTGGCTGCGCCCCCTCGTGCTATTGGCAATAGGGGCACCGGGCAGCCAACACAGCCACGAGAAGAGGAGCGGCACAGACTCCAGCTTCTCCTCGAATCCCTGCTGCTCTCCCCCACCTGTATGGGCAGAGGACTCTGTGTCTTCAATTTCTTTTTCTATTTCAAAAGGGAAATGTCAGGTGTCTGTTTAGACCCCTGATATTTCCCCCGAAGCCCCCCAACAGCAAAAAACACACACACATTACTAGACATGTGCAAACACTAAAAAATTGTTTAGACCGAAATGAACAGAAACCAAAAATGTTTTCATTAGTTTCCTCAAACGAAAAAAATGTTATGCTATTTTGGATTTGGCCACCAGTGCATTCTGCACATGCGTGCTGCCATCCTGGAGGCAGGGCGCATGACATCACATACCGCACACGTCTGTTGGGGGGCACAATTTTCTGTATTTGCTGCTGGCGCAAAAGGAACTAGCTACGGCTCTGCATAATGGAGCCAGAAACTCAGCGAAGATAGCTATCCAATAAAGTCCCCGAGAGACAAAAGGGACAGTCAGGAGGTTTAACTCTAAAATAAAAATTGTGGATGGACTTACCCGTTAAATATTCTAAATTGTACTGAGGAGCGTGCTATAAGAAACAAAGGAACCTTTGAAAAATCAATGAGCACTCCCCGGGGTCCTCATACCTCTACTTTAGGACCTCTTTGGGGGTCTGTGGTTACATGGAAAATTGCCTTGAATCTTCTGTAAATTCTAGCGGTGCCTGTGGTTTTCCACATAGAGCCGGTACAGATTTCTAGCAGCGGTGTTAGTGGTTGCTGTCTGCGCCGGTATCACAGGGAGGTCCATAAAACATCATTCTTCATAAACCGTGTTTTCCTAAGGCTTACCACTGAGAGATTAGCTCCGGGGAAGGAGGTGACTTTATGGGTTTTATTGGAACATTCCTGGCTGGAAATCGCACACTACCTCCATGAATCTATTCACATTACTTGTGGGGTCAACTGATGGATTCCGTTTTTGGGTCACTATTGCAGAAAGACTCTGAGCCTGATTAAGGGGACCCTGCGTGGCCCCGAAAGCGCTTACATATGTGAGGGACAGCATTCTTCAATAAATGAACACTTAAACTGCTGTAACTATCGCTTTGGTGTGCTGGTGACGTCCTTCGACTATTTCAGAAATGTCACATTACTTAGGCAGGTCGTGAAGGGGACATTTTGTTGTCCACTATGTTATAATTACTTTAAAAAGATTTTAAGAGAATGAAAAATATAAAACAATGACTCAACATGATGGAAATTTTTTTTTCTCAGCTGACCATCCTTTAACCGCTTCAGGCCCGCCCACATCAAAAAAACATCCTGTCCTGTAGTGGTTATACCAAGAACACAACTGCTGCTGCAGCCATGTTCTTGAGCAATTGCTGTTTAGATACAAGCGATCCGGCGGCTATACAGCCACTGGATCGCTTGTACGATTCGGCGGAATGTGGGGCCCCCCACTCCGCCATCGCCACCGGCTTTCCCGGGCTCTGCTTTCCACTGTGCAGGCACGGGACCGGCATGGCAGGTCTTCACTGACTGATCAGAGGGAGAGCAGCAAGCTTCTAGCCTCCGATCTCTCCTCCAATCACTAGACCCGGAAGACACGCACATACAAATGCTAACACGCTTCGGGTGCACCTATATGCAAAAACTAAAATTGCACCACACCTGTTAAATATCGCCGCGAACATCGGAGTGAGAGCAATAATTCTAGGGCCATCAATCAATCAATCAATGATGAGCAGTAAAAGCTTTTAAAGTGTCACATATGGGAAATTATGAGTATTGTAGATTTTGCTGTTTCATGAACGCAATTTTAAGGCTTGACATGTTTGGTATTTATTTGCCTGGCGTGACCCTGTCTTTTATATTTTACCCAAAAATTGGGTATTATATTCTGTTTCCGTGCACTAAATTTCATTTTAGTACATTTTATTCTAAAAATAATGGCTTGATAAACATTTACTCAAATACCGTGCGGCATAAAAAATTGCAACTAGCATTTTGTTCTTCTACAGGACCTCTGCTTTCAGGGAATATATCATTGCTTAGGGGTCTGAAGCTGTTTTAGCCAAAAATTCAGATTTTATCATGTGTGTGCAAATAGTAAGAAATTGCTCCAGACAGCAAGTGGTTAAAGGAAACACAAAGAACTCAGGAGACATTACAATCATAATACAATTCAAAACAAGATGGTAAGGAGGGCCTTGCCCCTGAGGGCTTACACATGTTTAAACACAACTTAATGATCCGCAAAAATGTAAATTGGCCCTAAATAAACCCCCTTACATACACGAATAATCCCCCAAACACCCAAAAAGTGAAATAAATTTTCCTGAAATCATTCCGCCCATCAATAGTTGGCAGCTGTCACACTTTGTTTAGATGTTCTACAGGCAGAACAAAGATCATTTCTGCCGAATAACCGCTGCGGAAACAAGAAGAGACATTGCCCTCTTGGCAGTCATTAACACTCCAGTTTTATTTATTGAATTATTAATCCATTTCGATAAATTTTAATTTGTTTATTCATTTATATTAATATATTTTCCATTTATTTGTTGCATTGTAGGATAAAATCAGTTGCACAATCTGGAATGAGATTGATGACATCAGAGCATTTAAAATGCTGGACCTGGAAGAGTTTGAGCGAATGTTTTCGGCCTACCAGCGACATCAGGTAGGTCATGTTACCTGCAGACACCTTATGGTCCACTACATGTAGACTAGTGATGCACCAATACCGTTTTTCGGTATTGAGTACGAGTACCGATATTTTGCTTTCAGTACCCGCAGATACCGAGTACTGATACCAGTGCTTTCGCTGGCATGGAGCCTGCTTGCCGGGCAATAAGAAAGCCGGGCGGCGGGTAATGACATGCCGCTTGGCTTCCTGATTAATCAGGAAGACGGCTCCATGTTGTTTGGCTGGCTTAATTGTGATTGGCCGGGAAACCGGCTTCCCTGCCAATTAGCATCGAGCTGGCTGTTTGGCCGGCTTGATGCTGATTATCAGGAAGCCGAGAGGCAGGTCATTACTTGCCGCCCGGCTTCCTAATTGCATGGGAAGCTGGCTCCATGTCTCCTTTACGGCACTGCCGGTCAGGCAAAAATCTTCCTCTGACCGGAAGTTCCTGTATCGGGGAAGGTATCGAAGCATTCTTGCCCAAATACTCGGTATCTGCACTGATACCAATACTAGTATCGGTGCATCCCTAATGTAGACCAATAGAATTCACTCTAAAGTAACAGGTCGTCATCGGCTAAACCTAACAGAAAATTTTATTTGGTATTAGAAAAAGAAGAAAGCTGTATTAGTCGTTAAAGGAGATCTATGAGGTGAGTGATTTCCATTCATCCTCATAGTTAGAGCCGAACTATGACAAAGAAGTTGCCACAGGTCGGCTCTATTGATCGGGAAGTGAGCAGAAACATGCCGCCGATCCGCTCACTTCCTGATCATCTCCCTGTAGTGAATGGTGACTGGCAGTCACCGCTCCCCGCAGGAATTCCCTCCTCTCCGATCCTCCATCAGTGAGTGGAGGAACAAACAGGGGAGGAGGCGGGCACAGCTGGCTCTGTCTCTAGATAGGCAAAGCCCACCGTCACTCACGCAGCTGGGTGGATCTCGACAGTGTTGTCAGGATACATCCTGTGTGCGGCACTCTTGGTATATTGCGGGCAATAGACCGCTATATACTGAGCTTTGGGTCACGGGTGGAGGTTAGTATATGTCCTCCTGTGATCCTAAAGAGAACTATGGGGAAAAACACTTACCCCATAGTTCTCTTTTAAAGCAACACTACACTCAGGAGTTAAATCTTAAAAATGCATTCAAGTACCTTAACTATTAACAAAAATGTATGTTATTTGTGTGTCACTCGGCTGTAGATCATCAAATAATCTCTGAATTGGTGCTGACACTGTCCTTCCTTCTGGAGGGGGGCTACTTTTGGTAACCATGGTCCCTGTGTGTGTTGTAAAGTAGTCCCCACTCCAAGCTCGCTACTGTGATGGACTACAATCTCATGTTTAGTTTACTAATTTGTATTGAGATTGTAGTCCACCCCGGGAATGAGCTTGGAGCAGTGACTACTTTCCAACACACACAGGGACCATGGGGAACAACAGTAGCCCCCCTCCAGAAGGAAGGACAGTTAGTATTTTATAAAGGACTGGTCAGCAGTGGCAGCGTCCATATTTATCTCAAGGCTCAATGCTATTAAGCAGTGGCTGTCAGTGGAATATGTCTCTGCTGTTTATTGGCTCCGGGTTTTTACCGTACTGTACATTTCGCTTGCTCTGCATCACATCACACAGGCTGAAAATAGAACTGTAGCCAGGCAATGAATAAACAAACACTTACATAACATTAATAAGCAGTAATGAGCTTCAAAACAAGCCATCGCTGACCTCTGTAGCTACAGGCACTATGGAACAATTAATCCTCAAACTTTACAAGAGAATCAGTGCAGTGGTCTCAGCACTCTGCTCCCTCCCCGCTTCCTGTGCATCTGGTGTGTTTACATTACAGACTAGAAAGCTTCCAAATCACTGCTGGATGGGGAAGGGGAGTAAAATGCATTAAGAAAAGTATAGTGAAAGATTATTTTGCTGTATACTTATGAGGATGACTTGCACCACAGTGTTTGCAGCTACAGATGTCAGTGAGTGTTTTGTACTGTTTGCTGTATGTAAATATTTGGATGTCCATAGCCTGGTCACATTGAGGGCCAGTTCACACCATAAAGAGTGCGTTCCAGTGTGTTCTGCCTCTGGAATGCACTGGAACGCAACCCGGCCGCCTCACTTTGTTTTGGGGCGGGTGGGGGCGTGGTGGTGCATTGAAGTCAATCTGGAAAAATGCTGCATGCACTATTTTTGCAGATCGCACTGGACCGGAACTCAGGCTCTAATGTGCCACGAGTTCGGGTGCCGGCGATCGCACTGCAGGCGGGGGGCGTGGCTGTGGGAACATTGACTTCAATGCACTGCCACGCCCCCTCCCGCCCCCAAAACAAAGTGAGCCGGCCAGGTTGCATTCCAAAATTTTTGTATAGTTTTCAAAAAAAGATAGAAACTCAGTAAGCTTTTTATTGCTATATCTGGCACTATTCAGAAGATTTCCCTTCATTCCCTGTGTCAGTGGCACAACTGGAAGTGAGGCTTAATCTCCCCCAACAGTCAGACCATGCCCATCACAATGAATTGCCAAAATCTCATAGAGTCTGGGCCACCCAGTGACAAAAACGAGGAGTCTGCGCAGCAAAGGACAGCTATTGGCTTTTGGCTGATTCTGAGCCACCACAAGTCCCATCATGCCATAGGAGCAGGTGCTGATAAACAGGCGCTGGCTCAGACCTGGAGCACAGGATGTTCACTGCAGAGCTGAGTAGCTTACTGGGAAATATTTATAGTAAAATTAAAATAATATTTGCACACACTTAACACTTAGCAAAACACACAATTCAGTCTTGTTTAATAAAAGTATGCGGAGTGCTTTAGGCGGCACACACAAACACTCGGGGTGACGGCACTGCGGTGTACGAAGGCCGTCCTGCTATTTGGAGGTCTACGTTGGCGTGCTTTAGATCTTTTTAATTTCCTTGTACAATTGTGAACTCTCCATGTAGGTGAAGCACTGCTTATGGCTATGATGTTTTATCATGTGACCTGTGTTCGTGCAGATTATACACTCAGTACTGTCACAGGTCTGGGTCATGACACCTTACAATGCAGTATTGGGAATCTCTGCTTATTGACCGTGTTGTAGAATTGCTGCCAGCTGCTTCTTGTATGAACTTTGTAACTTGGTTTCTTTGACTAATTTTTGGCATGTCTCCTTTTCCTACCTGCGGCTGGCTGCATAGGACCTGCTAACTAACAACTCTCTAAAGCAGGTGAGTAAACTCCTCTGTATGTTCCATAATGCTAAACCCTTTGCCTTCTCTACAGCCAATCAGAACACAGTTCCAGCCGCGCTCCCTGCCTGAGCCAGAATCCAGGAAATATCCAGTATTGTCCCACTGGGTAGATTTCCCTTCACCTCCTGTACTCTAGATACAACAGGAATTAAGAGGCAACTGGACTAGCTGCATGTTTCTTTTACTGGTCATCTGACTAGCATTGAGAAAGCCGGAGCTGAGGGTCATAAGAAATAAATGCATGTTAGTAAGGAGAAACAATGTTACAGTTCCATATAGATGTAACTATTGATACTACAGGGATAGCACTGGTTACATTGATATGTTCATTCCCTCCAGTGATCTGTGGAACTGTAACATTGTAGCTCCTTACTAACGTGTATTTATTTCCTATGATCCTCAGCGCCATCTAGTGGCCATCATGTGATATTTCCCCCATTTGATGTGTTCTTTAGAACAGTGTTTCTCAACCTGTTTAACATCAGGACCCAAATTTGTCCTTGAGTCATTTAAGTCGCGATCCAAGTCACACCACACTGGAACGTACAGCATTGCAGTACCGCATGTTCTGGTGCAAGCGATCAAACTGTGGGTGTGTTTGGGGTGCTATTCAAATCAATTGCAACACAATGCACTTCCGGCACCAGAAAGAACAGTAGCTGTGATTGCGTGGTGGTTTGCGATTAAAACACTGACAGACACACACTCACAGACGTTCTCAAACACATATACATGCTCTCCCAAAAAAATGTTTAGGGGTTCAGCAGCGTGCTATGACGTAGCTGCATCCATATATGCATTGCTTGTACAGCTCCCTTGCACTCCCAGTGGAGGTGCCGGAAGTCAGAATGTGACTTCACTGCAGTTACGCGCAGTAGCTGTAAGCAATGCATGTATGGATGGAGCTCCCTTGGGGCCATACTTCCAGCACACCCCACCTTAAGCTGACAAGCTGGGCAGCATATATTGAATGGTTGCACTGACCGAGAACTGACAGTGCTGCGCTATTGGGTAGGCTGAGGAGCCTCTCACCTGGTGCATTGGAAGGCCTGCGGCGACCCACTGAACATGGGGTCATGACCCACCAGTTGAGAACCACAGCTTTAGAACATTTGATCAGCAGAGAAATCACACTAAGAACATTCGTTCTTGCCCCATTCCCCCAACAGCCGGTTAACTTGCACAGAATGAATGTACATGAAATTTGGCTGGATGGATAAGCTGTGCAAATGTTTTATAAACAGACCCCAAAGTGTTTTCCAAATTTCCCTTTTTGGTCTTCAACTTTGTTTTGTTTTTTGTGTAATCCTTATAAATCTAATCTAATTATTCTTTGGAAACATTTTCTATTGTTAAAGGAGAACTATGAGGTGAGTGCTTTTCACTCACCTCATAGTTCTAGCCGGCCTGTGACAATGAGACTGTCACAGGTCAGCTCAGTAGATTGGGAAGTGAACGAACACATACCGGCGTTCGCTCACTTCTCGATCCTGTCACGGCTCTCTGCCGTGACAAGGGAGGGGCTGGATTCCCCTCTCCCCGCTCCGATCCTCCGGCGCTGACTGGCAGAACGGACGGGGGAGGGGACGGGTATAGCTGGCTTTGCCTCTAGATAGGCAGAGCCAGCAGTCACGCACCTGGGCGGATCCAGACATAATTGTCGGGATCCGCTTCAGCTCCGGCGTCTCAGTATACCGCGAGCTGTAGCTCGCGGTATACTGAGCTTAGGGTAACGGGAGGACGCTAGTCTGTGTCCTCCCGTTACCCTAAGGAGAACTATGGGGAAAAGCCCTAACCCCATAGTTCTCCTTTAAGTCGTCTTTCTGGGTTACTTCTCTGGCAGGGCAAACAATCATTTCTTATGTAGATTCCACTTTTAATTAGAATATATATTTAGGGACTTGTGGCACTGCGGTCCTTATCTCCAGCCACAGTCCGAGGGAACCTGAGCGGGCATTTGGTGTGGAAGAGTGGCCAGCCGAATGTCTGAACACAGGCACCTCAGAACCATTCCCACACCATCAGATCCAGCTCCAGGGATCCAGTGTCACCCATCATCCCACATTTGGATGATGGGTTGACACAGCTCCATCCAAATCAGAAATAGTATACTATTTTGGCTTTAGATATACTTCATACATGTATTTGCTTGCTCAAAGCTAGCCAGAAAACAAGTGATTTCCAGAATGCTGAATAAGTCATCAGTATTTGGAAGCTCAACTGTAGACAAACCTTTCATTCATTGGATTTCAGTTCTTTTAGTCATGGAGGCTCAGCATCACATTGTGGGTGTTACCCAGGGCGGTCTGCATGCAAATTCAGTCTGCATAGGAATGCCCATACCTTCAGACTGACAGTCACCCATCAAGGCATTTTGATATTTACATAGCTACTCCCAAGAGCCAGCCCACTGCTTGCATCAGGGCTGACGACTGCAGTACGGAGGCAGGGTGCTGTGATGCTTCCTGTCCTGCTGGCAACTATATACTAGACAGTAAGTGAGGGGAACTTTCCAATAGCAATGCAGACAGAAAAAAAAGTTTATGTCTTGAAATACATTTTAACATTACATTGTATCAATAATAGAAACAACGATGGGCTCAGCAAATGCCCTCTGCTGCGTGTTTTCGGTGACAGATTTACAAAAGCTGCGCTCATGGCCATAGAGAACAGGTCCTCTTTGATAGCAGCGTGCCTCTAGTTTGGAGGTGTTTATTGACGCGTTCCGACATGTAATGTGCTGGAGATCGATGTTGGTGTTCTGACCTCTCCAGTCTGGCAGCGCGGCGGAGGCGAATTCCTGCGCTGACCCCTTCCAATTTCTCAGGAAAGTGTTACAAAACAAAAAGAAAACACAAATAACTGAGAGCGAGCCAGAAGCGGCCTGGAACTTGTTCATGACAAACTTTCCTCAGACTCTGCCACTAATATTAAACAGGTGGACCTGTCAGCGCACATTAGGAGCGGCGGGCACGGGCAACTCTGTTACAGCACCCGGCGGAAGATGGCTTCACTCCTGCTAAATGAGAAATCCGGCCTGGTGACATCATAAAAGGGCTCACTGCAATTTCCTGTTATCTCTGAGGAAGATAACAATCCTTCTATTAAAGCAATGTTCTAAAGTTTGTTACATTGTGTCAGTTCTTCTGGGAAACATGTACTGAGGGAGATCTACAGACTAGGAACATTATGGTCCCAGATCCCGGGATACTGTTAACCCTGTTCATGGTCTGCATTGTGCCCACCCATTCTCTAGGTTGATATGCCCAAGTCACACCCACTATATGGTTTAGTTCTGCCAACTAAACCAGACCTGACCTCTGAATATGTGGGGACCTCCCATCACACCCACTTTAAAGGTTGGTCCCACTAGACCTGACCTCTAAATATGTGGGGACCTCCCATCACACCCACTCTACAGGTTGGTCCCAACAGATCCGACCTCTAAATATGTGGGGACCTCCCATCACACCCACTCTACAGGTTGGTCCCACCAGACCTGACCTCTGAATATGTGGTGACCACCCTTCACACCCACTCTACAGGTTGGTCCCACCAGACCCGACCTCTGAATATGTGGTGACCACCCTTCACACCCACTCTACAGGTTGGTCCCACCAGACCTAACCTCTGAATATGTGGTGACCACCCTTCACACCCACTTTACAGGTTGGTGCCACCAGACCCGACCTTTGAATATGTGGTGACCACCCTTCACACCCACTTTACAGGTTGGTGCCACCAGACCTAACCTCTGAATATGTGGGGACCACCCATCACACCCACTTTACTGATTGGCCCCATCCAGACCCGAGTGAGTGCTCTTGTGTGTCTGCAACATCTGTCCCCACCCCCAAAAAACACAACTGCCTTTTTCTTCCAAGGCAATGCATGAGTTTCTTATCGTACCCATTGAAGCGCACTGCAGTTTTTTTTTATTGGGCTGTGTATGTGCATTGGGGTGCCACCGAAAATGAGTTGTATTGCACCACAACGCGCATACACTACGTGTTGTTGTTGTACTGTGCATGCTAATATGTGAATGCAGTCTTGATGTTGTTTTTCAGAACATAATGTTGTGACACTCTCATGTCTCTCTCCCGGCAGAAGGATATGGACTCCATGGAAGATCTGTACCTGTCTACAAGAAAGGTCAAAGAACTGTCCGTGATTGACGGCCGCCGGGCACAAAACTGCGTGATTTTGCTCTCTAAGTAAGTGGACAACTAACAGTCAGTAATCGCATCCTATTATGTCTGCTGAAGGTCTTACTGCTGGTACTGTTGCAGCATTCACTATGACTACAGTGATGGGAGCAATATGGGAGTCAATATTCAGAAGTAGAGATGAGCAAATCTGCCCGGGTTCGATTTGTGAGCGGTTGCAGTGTGAAGTCTGAAAACCCTAAACTTAGCCCTGAACCCCATTAACGTCTATGGAAGGCAAATCTGGATAATAAAATAAAAAGGTGGCTTTGGATAAGACAGCAGCTAAAAGTGACCTTTAATCAACCACAAAATAACATTAAAGGTGAAGCCCCAGCACATCCTCTCCTGTAATAGGAATACATAGTAGAATTGTGTCTGATAATCCAAACAAAGCTTACTTTTCTGTAGTGAGCGCTCCCTTCCGTCTGCCCATCACTTCCTACAACTTCCTGAATTCCCAGCGTGCTTTGCGTCACTTTCCCTGCTTCTTGATGTGTGCAGTCTCAATTTCTCAAGACTACATATCCCATCATGCATTGCTTCCAGCAAGCCATGATAATGTTACATTGTTCAGACGTTGAGTTGTAGTTTAGCTCTGTGAGAAAGGTGACACAAGCAAGTGCAAGTGAAATGGTGTCAGTACATTGAGGAAGTCCATCCTAGGGGCATCTTCGATAAGTAAGTTTACAAACTTCTAGATGGATCTGGTTATTAGGAGTGAGATAGAACTTAAGGAAATTCAATATAGAAATACTCATTTAGTTTTAGTTTTGACTATAGATACCCTTTAAAGACAAATAAGCCCCCAATAATACCGTGTTTCCCCGAAAATAAGACCTCCCCCGAAAGTAAGACCTAGCACTATTTTTAAACATTCCTGTAATATAAGACCTACCCCGGAAATAAGACCTAGTTTGGGGGTGGGGGAGGCCCAGAGAGCAACCAGAGTACATAACAGGGACTAACCTCCGCGCCACAGCTCCCGCATACCGCCCATGTCACGAAATCAGCAGACACTTGTCTGCCTCGGCCGTTGCTTAGAGAGCTGCCGCCGGGCAGAAAACTACATTTCCCAGCAGGCAGCGGCACAGCGCGCAGAGGAACGTATGGCAAGTGGGGTCGGAGTGAGGTGACTGAGCCTCAGTCACTGAGGAAACTTTTGACTGGAGGTCCGTGCAGTCCAGACTGGCGATGAGAGAGGTGGCTCCCTCGCGGGGATCCCACAGAGAACTGTGGACGGCATCAGAGAGGAGAGCTCCAGGACAGCTGCAGCCTGCAGGTATTGTGACACTGTGTGTGACAGTATTTAAAGGAGAACTATGAGGTGAGTGCTTTTCACTCACCTAAGACCCCATTCACACCTAGCGACATACCTTTTGCAGCGGATCCGCACGGCCAGGATAGCGCGACTTTCGGGGCGACGTTCCAGCGACTATCCAGCGACGGTAGCGCGACCTTCCCCGTCGGGTTCCATAGCAAAAAAGCAAAATCCGCCGAAAAAAGGGTCCGGTAGAAGCGACTTGCGACCGCGACGAGCGACGCGCGACATGGAGTTAAGACAGCTCCATTGAATAACATTGGCCGGCGACTTCTCGCGATATATCGCGCGGCAAAAATGCGCGATATCGCGCGACAATTCGCTATATGTGAACGGGGCCTCATAGTTCTAGCCGACCTGTGACAATGAGACTGTCACAGGTCGGCTCAGTAGATCGGGAGGTGAGCGAGCACATACCGGGTTCGCTCACCTCTCAATCCTGTCACGGCTAGACGGGGGAGGGGGCGGGTACAGCTGGCTCTGCCTCTAGATAGGTAATAATAAACATTAGGCAGCATTTTTTTGCCCAAAGAGCTTGCACTCAGTACAGTTTTTAACTGACCCTAATCTCTCCCTGTGCATCTTTCCCTGCAACAGTTTGCACTGGCTGCTCAGTGCATTATAGTAAGGGGGTAAAACGTACCAAAGCCCCCATTTGGGCCATTCTAATCCAACTCAGTTTAGTGCCCCTGCGGTGCATTGTCATTACAATAAATCCAGGAGGTGCATTTGCCACATTGTGGGTGGCAAATGCACATAGTTGGGTGGGTCTGTGAGTTGACCTGGTACCGCCATCTTGTATGTGATGTCAGCAGACTCAGTGACACTCGAAAGCCGTGGTAGACAACCTCGGCACAGTAGCTCCAGTGGAACTACAAGTCCCATGAAGCATTGCAAGACTCTGAGAACCACAGCTTGTCTCCCAGAGGCTTAACGGGGTTTGTAGTTTCCCACAGCTGGAATGCCGAGGTTGCCTACCATTGTTCTACACTGCCAACAGGTTGCTGCTCTCCGCTCTCCGCCGTCGCTATTTATTAATCTCGCACGTCTCTCCAATGACACGGTATAATCGCTCGTATAAGCGGCAGGAAGATGGAGGCTACTGGGGCAGCACATCTGTTTCATCTTGTAGGAGCCCTAAACGCTGCAGATTGAGTTTCTAATTGCGAGCCAGCAGCTGGATCCAATTGACGTGAACGGCGCGGAGATTTCTGCGGTTAATTGGTCGCTCTGTTTACCCGAAACTGACACATTTTTCATGTGAAATGGCATTTTCCATTCATTAAGAATCCCCCTCTTCTGTATACAGTGAATGGGAGCTGGAGGCGGAGACGCTTTTCCCTTCAGCCAGAATCTGTCCCTTCTCTGATGAGGATGCTTCATGTAGACGGAGGTCTTTGTTTTGGGGGGTCAGAGGTCAGCTGAAGTGTGCCAGTTGATAGGGAAGCAACTGTCGGACCTCAAGTGATCTGTGACACCTGACTATCAAATCTCATCCAAGCTTAACGTGCTCATTTCCAGTTCCTTCGGAATCTGCAGCTTTCATTAAGGGCCTATTCAAACTATAGTGTCGCTCTAAAAACAGGTGGGATCCTTTAATTTGGTGCACAACGCACGGTGCTGCATACTGGGTGCACTGGGGTGTTGCATTGATTCTCAGTGGCACCCTAATGCATCTCCTGGCTGGCATGCATTGCATTTCCATGTGGTGCATGCATTACTGTCACTGCAACTCAATGCATGTTATTGCCCGCCCTCCAGGATGTATGTTGGGATACCATTGAGAATCAATCGCATTGCAAGTTTTTTCTGGAAATATTTATTTTCACTTTCTTTTAATCCTCTGTTGCATCTCAGTGCTGATGATTTCCTGCAGTCTCTTTGCAGCTACTTCCTGTCTACATGCACTCCCGCAATGGCTGCGTGGCGTTTCTCTGGATGGGTTTACTAATGGTGACAACGTGCCCCATGCCTGCGGAATGTGTGTGTTGTAGTTTCCATCAAAACTGGTGTGACAGGGTGACAAGGCAGGAGCATAACTAGGACACAATGACAGAGAGGTTGTCACCCTATACCTGGAAGTGTCTGAACGAGGACCTTCATGGCGGGATCACCAGGGATTATTTTATGGCCTATTCACACTATAGCATGCATTTAGCATACACTATCACACAGCAAACGGTACTGCACGCTAAGCGCGCTGGTGCGTTGTGTTATCATTGATTGTTAATGGCACCACAACATCATAATGGCCGCTTGTACTCTCTATGTTGGGCTCTGCAGGGTTTCAGGTGGACGGGTCACACCCCTTTCCTGTCAGCCCCGATCCACAGTCCACCTCCTCCACGGTCGCTGGTGGGCCCCGCCTCCTCCGTCGCCGGGCCCCACCTCCTCCGCTGCCAACCCCAGACCCCGCCTCCTCCTCCACTGCTGGGTCCATCCTCCTCCTCCGCCACTGCCACTGACTCAGCAGTGGCTGTGGAGAGGAACGCGCCGTTGCACAGATTACTGACGGTGATCAAACAGCGGCACGTTCCTCTTCACAGCCGCCAGTGACAGTTAGGCCTCATTCACACACGAATCGGCCGGCACGTACAGCTCCGTGCGGGGTCGTACCAAGTAGCTGCCGGGAAGGACAAGTGCTGCGTGTGATTAGAATGCAGCCCCCGTCCTTCTCTATGGGGCTACGCGGCCGTACGCCCCCCTACGCTGACCTCATTTGCAGGTCCGTAGGGGTGCGGGTGATCGTATTCATACGCCGCCGGAATGGATCCTGTATGCGTCCCGGACAGAAAACCCGCACCCCTACGGACCTGCAAATGAGGTGAGCGTAGGGGGGCATACGGCCGCGTAGCCCCATAGAGAAGGACGGGGGCTGCGTTCTAATCACACGCAGCACTTGTCCTTCCCGGCAGCTACTTGGTACGGCCCCGCACGCAGCACAGAGCGGTACGTGCAGGCCGATTCGTGTGTGAATGAGGCCTTAGCAGCATGAGATGCCATAGCGATCCAGGCAGCGCGCACGGCATTAGGGCATGACCTGGCCAGGGCCCCCTGTGCCCCGGGCCCCATAGCGGCCGCCTGGGTAGAGCGTTGTCACCCTATATCAGGAAGTGCCCCAACAACCGCATTCATGGCAGGATCACCGGGGATTTATAAACATTGGAAAGGATTTTTTTATATGAGATTTTAGTGGTTGGCTTTCTGTCTCCTTTAAGCTGCTGATGTGCCGCCTATAGTCCTGATTGATGTTCAGTACAGAGAAGACCCATTAATGACTACGTAGACTCTCAGTGGGACCCGTTACTCTTCATTGATATACAAAACATGCGATAAGTGTGCTGGAAGTAGCGTGCAAAGACGGCGGAATTCCCATCGCTCTCCGACCTCCGTGGGAATCTTGTAGCAGCAGATAAAGCGAGGAGCGCTTAATCCGCGGGTGAAATATAGACGAGTATTAAAGGGACAAATGTCTTACAGATGCTGCAATCATCCGCTCGCAGAGCATCTGTTTCCTTCACTTCTAACAAACTGGAGGGTTAGCGGCATCCGGGAGCCGAACTTATCACTCCGCGTGTTCCCGACATTCCGGATGATTCTTCATTAGATCAACGAACTGCTCGGAAACATTGTAACTGTTCGAAGTTCAGAAAGAGAGCTCAGGTTTCCTTCAGGCTCCATTCACATT